GGTGCCTGCTGAGCTAAGAATAGGAGTCCCATAGCACTGGATTGCTCACTTGTTCTTTCTCGGGATCAATAATTGGCAGGTATTGGCTGTTGCCACATGCAGAAGAGTTTGTAGCTTCCGAGCAACAGAAACTATTGAGTCTTATTGCACAGCTGCCAATCCTGTAACATAGTACTTGCTGATATTTCCTGTATAGTCACCGCAATGTTAGCAGGATAAACAATATCATTCGTTTAACCTTCCTACTTTCTCTCTGTTTCATAGATTGCCAGGGAGCTGCACCAATTTACGTTTGACCTTTTAATTAAATCACACATGGTCAGCGTGGACTTCCCCGAAATGATGGCTGAGATCATCTCCGTCCAGGTTCCCAAGATCTTGTCTGGGAAAGTCAAACCCATCTACTTCCACATGCAGTGATGTCGCAGAGGCAATCTCCTTTCCCCGCCACTCCCTTCCAGCCATCTCCTGCCTGTTTTCTCTGCACTACTGTACTGCAGTGCCTTGGGGCGTCTCCTCTAAAGATGCGGTATACTGTGACGATGCACAGTGCCAAACTGCAACCTGCTGGGACTTCTTTGATTTCCAATTTTTCTGGGGTATTTCTGAACTGAACTACCCGCCACGGCTTCTGCCTATGTCTGGATGGCTCTGCACTTCTATAAACATTGTGGCATGGTGACTTTGTGGGTCTTGTTTATACCCTTTTGCTTGTGTATTTTCCACAGTGACTTTTGATAGCCCAGTGCCACAGGAAGTTTCAGCTTGGGAGAAATTCCGCCATTTGTTTGCTCTTTAAAACAAAACAAGAAGTAGGTTAAACATGCAAGTTGGGAATGTGGGTTATTTTTCTGACTAACCTGAGGTATTTTCCTTTTTATTTGCATCATGTCTTCAAGAGGCATGTGAATTAAAAATGGTGAGACAGGAAAGGGACAGAGAAACAGACCACTTCAAAATCAGACAGTACATTTGTGGGGAAAATCCTTGTTATCATCTACTCTGGTCATGTACGTAGACCCCTATACCACAACAGTTTGCTCATACATGTAGACCCATATATCATACCATGCTGACCATTATGCCAGACTGCATTGAGCATGCACCCAGGCCCATACACTCTCGTCCTTTCAGCATCTAAAAGCAGCATTACGTATTTACTCACCAAAGAAATACCCAGTTCACAATAATCTTTGGCGTGTTGTCATGTCAGTAAAAAGCATTGATGAAGATTAAGATTATGACTTTTGGAAGATGAAGACTACAGAGGGCTAACTTCCATCTAGGGTATTTTTCCTGTGGACTGTGAGTCAAATTGGATCTAAGTCTGTCCAAAGACTGCGCAGACCTCTAGTGATCACATTCCAATTTCGAACATTTTTTTTCCTCCACACCAGCAAAGAAATTACCCTCTGGAAACCACTTGTGCAGTATGAGTGCCTGAAGTCTCCTCTCATCTCTGCCTCTAGCCTGCACCCTTTGGATAGCTGAAGTCTCCACTTGTCTCATCCCATCATCTGTTCAGCTCACCATGGGTGCCTGCAGGTCTAGATTTTCCAGTGGTGTTTTCATTTGCCCTTTATCCAGCAATTTTGCAGTCTTTCAGAAGCCAACACTGAAAAGAATCCCAGAAGCAAAGCAGAGGGAACTTTGGCTCTTCGGACTCTATGAGGCATAGTGACTTTGGGATTATTCTGCATCTTTTGCATTCTTTTGGAAACAGTTGTACATGACCTGAGATCAGAGGCGATGTATGTGGGGGAGCATGCAAGGTCATGTGCCCCCCGTCTCCTGATTTGTTGCTTGACTGTTCCCAGGGAATGAGCATGCTGTCTTACTTGGGGGTGCCCATAGCTTCCCTTAATGTTAGTAATTGATGTCCACCAAGGAAAAAAAACAAGCCCTCTCAATGTCACTAAAATCCCTATATTGTAAAATCAGCACCCAAGCAAAGCCCAGACCCAAGCCCCATGGAGATGACAGTGTGTCATCAGACTGCAGCCTGACTACTGAGATGCCGGCTGGAGAACACTGCCTAACATGCACACACACTGTCATTAAAACAAGAACAATCAGAGGTTTATCATTTTCACTTTCTGGCAGCTTTCAGGGTCAGGAGTACAGTAATTACTCGCTTAACACGTGCCTGCTTAACACGTTTTCGCAATAGCATGATTTTTTTTTAGGGAACGTTTTTCAAATAACATGACTGTCCCTGAAATAACACGAAAATAATCAAGTGGCAGACTACTTCATGCAGCAGCATAAGTTGGTGAAAACAGTGGTAATACACATGAGCGGATGAATACACGTGGTCACAGCGCTCCTCCGCTCACTCACGTGTTTATCTTTGTGTTCTGACAAACTGCAGTGACTTGAGTTGCTAGATATCTTGTGTTGCTCAATATCTAATGTTGACGACCCAGGACCAACAAAAAATTGACTTTGCCACCACCACCTGAAATGCAACCCCCACCTTTTCCATTATTTTTAATAGGAAAATTGACCCCGCATAGCACATTTTCGCTTAGCACGAACATGTTCAGAAACGCATCTATAGTGTTAAATGAGGAATTACTGTATTTCCAAGAGGAATGTGTGTTTCTTCAAATCAGGTTAAAGTTGGCTTGAAATCATCCCCCTGGAGTTCCTAAGGACACATTGGCCCACCTAGGAATTTTATTCAGATTTGGGGATGGGGTGGGTACTATACATGCAGAAATCTGACCCTGTGTCTCCTGGTGGTTCTGTGCTCACTCCTGAGAACTTCCCCTCATATCGTGAGCTCAACAGAGCAACAAGAGCCATGTTGACAGGACTGGCTGGTGAACCAGGTTTTGAAGAGGAAGATATGAGTATCTTGCATAATAGGGCATCCCACTATCCCCCAGAAGATTAAATTTGCCATATGCCTCCTTTATACACTAGGGCTGTGTCTACATTGGCCCCTATTCCGTAATAGGGATGCAAATGTAGCACTTTGGAATAGGCAAATCCGCGGGGGATTTAAATATCCCCCGCGGCATTTGCATTAACATGGCTGCCGCTTTTTTCCGGCTTGTAGATAGTCTGGACGCCAGTCTTGAAAGTAGGAATAAGAGATCCTCTGGAAAAGAGCTTATTTTCCGGAGGATAGCGTCCAGACTGGCGCTTTTCTCCGGCTTATCTACAAGCCAGAAAAAAGCGGCAGCCATGTTAATGCAAATGCCGCGGGGGATATTTAAATCCCCCGCGGATTTGCCTATTCCAAAGTGCTACATTTGCATCCCTATTACGGAATAGGGGCCAATGTAGACACAGCCATCGATAATCAGAGGTTTCAGCCTGTGGATCCTTACCAGTTTACTCTCCTCAAGTATGTGAGGCTTTTCCAGCCTAACACCCTTAATCTCCCCCCAACTCTTCCTCCCCCAGGCAAAAGAAGTGTGGCATTTCTGCTGCTATTGGGGGCCTTTCATGAGTTGGGGACCACCATCAGCCTTAGAGTGAAACAGAAGTAGCTTCCCAAGCTTTGTGATGACATACTCGGGCTTCTGTGCAGAGTGCTTCTCAGTGCAGAAAGTGATCACACAATTTCCCTAAGGGGTTGCATTTTTTCAGAAAAATACCTTTTCAGCAGTTGTGAGTGAGTTTTCCTCCCCTGCAGCTCTGATGGCTCTGATCACAGCGTTCCTATGTTCCTCCTTGTGAGGGCTAGAATAAGCTCTTTTTATATCAGCCAGTTGTTATTCTGGTATTATGAATATCTTTTTTTTCCTCTTTGAAGGCTTATAAAATATTGACATTTTGGTGTGATTATAACCAGCTGGTGTAAGGCTCCACTGACTTTGAAAATATACCAGGTAAAAGATCAGCTTATACCAAAGCCTGCTTCTTTGCACTGTGGTTTTTCAGTTAGTTAGCGGATGAATACAATGACAGGCTGGTTTGGCACAGCACAGCTCACTCCACAATGAAAGGGGAGGCTATCTTGAGTATGCATGAATGCATGTATTTCACATTTGTTCAAGTACATGCAAGGATTTCACCTTTGTATACTCATGGAGCTGGGTTATTTGGTACCCTTCTAGAATGTCAATGAAAGACTGGTCAGAGATCTACAGTAAATGTACTGCTTGCCTACCCACACCCCCATTTGATGGACAGAACCACATACTGAACAAGGGGGGGTGAGAGAGTGAGGATGCTGTCTGTGCCAGGCACTATACGCACAAGTTGCAAACATTTTTGTAGATGATACAAAGTGTAAATCCTTTAGGAAAGGGGCATGTGACTCACTGGAAGTATGATCCACCCAGCCAATATTGTACATTACAACTAAGTTACCTTTACTGACCTTCCCCAGTAGTTTCTGTGCAGTATCAGCTGTAATGGGAAGTTAGATTTTTTGCTTGGAAGCTATTCAATATCACTTTTTGTTTAATTCAAAATCTGGCTTTGTTCAGCATTGTTAGAGGAATAACTGAAGGATCCATTCACAATAACTAGGATCAGTGACACATCTGTTGGCATGTGCATTCACTGTGGGGTTTAAATACTTTCTTCTTCAGTTTACTTCCAGTGGCTACTGCAAAATGGAAAAAGGCTTGAGAAATGCCAAAGCGCTGATTTGACATGTTCCTCTGTACTTTTTATGTTATTTTGCATTTTTATTTCTACTTGTGCTTAAATAAAACAAAGAGAACCCCACAACCCATATGATAATGTAGATATTGTCTTTAATAATACTACAGTTTGCTCAGCTTATGTGTTTATGTTGCTTCAGGGCTCATTAAGCCGTTTGGCAATGCTTTCCAGAATACAAGTGTAAATAGCTTGCAAGTACCCCTCCAATTATACAGGATTATTCTTCTCTCATATACAAGAATGCATTTTCTCCTGGAGTCATGGGCATAAGGAGGAAGAATTCGTAATGTGGCAAGGAGCCAGAACTACACCCTTCTGCATATTTCTAAAGAGCTACATGGAGTGAGAGTAAAACCCATGTAATCTGCAGTATGGTTGGTAAGAAAAAAAATAGTGGGGTGATCAGTGTTCAATATTGGCCTAAGTTTTACTACTGACTTCAAAAGGAACAAGAGTTAGGCCAGTGCTGAAGTGCATTTGAAAACTCCACCCGCTGGCTGTGTCTAGACTGGCAAGTTTTTCCGCAAAAGAAGCTGCTTTTGCGGAAAAACTTGCCAGCTGTCTACACTGGCCGCTTGAATTTCCGCAAGAACACTGACTTCCTACTGTCTGAAATCAGTGCTTCTTGCGGAAATACTATGTTGCTCCCGTTCAGGCAAAAGTCCTTTTGTGCAAAAGGGCCAGAGTAGACAGCTCAGATTTGTTTTCCGCAAAAAAGCCCCGATCGCGAAAATGGCGATTAGGGCTCTTTTGCAGAAAAGAGCGTCTAGATTGGCACGGACGCTTTTCCACAAAAAGTGCTTTTGCGGAAAAGCGTTCATGCCAATCTAGACGCTCTTTTCCGCAAATGCTTTTAACGGAAAACTTTGATTTCTCCCTTCATGTTCAAAACTAAAAAGAACAAGTGATATATCCTTTTATATTACCAAAGATGTCTATATATAGTAATGATTTAAACAACAATTTTTGTGAGGTTCACGCTGAGACAGATTAAATCTCCTTCAGAAAATGGCTCCTTAAGGCTACATCTACACTGCAGGCTTTTTGCACAAGAAGCTTTTGGCGGAAGAGATCTTCCGCAAAAACTTCTTGTGCAAAAGTGCGTCCACACTACAAAAGCACATTGCAAAAGCGCATCCACACTACAAAATGCGCATCGCAAAATAATGCATGAATGTTCTTGCACAAGAAAGCTCTGATGGCCATTAATAGAATGGCCATCAGAGCACCTGTGCTTTTTCTGCTAGGTTCTTTTTGCGCAAAAATCTCTGTTGAGCATCCACACACACCTTTTTGTGCAAGGACTCTTGGGCAAAGAGGAGTTATTCCTCACAGAAAGAGGTATACCTTCACCGCAAAAAGCCCTCTGTTCTGCCAATCTACTGTAAATTTTCTTGCACAAAAACACACTTGAGGTGTGGATGCTCCGTGGGTTTTTGTGCAAAACCGCCGTTTTTGTGCAAAAAACCTGTAGTGTAGTCATAGCCTAAGTGTCTGTTTGTGTTAGTAGAAGCTTTCTTTTAATTTTTTTTTCTGATACTAGTGACCAGGTTTTTGAAAGGTCCATCCTTGTGTTGTTCAAATAGAATATATGCTGTATTCCAGTGCCAGTATTGGTCTGAGAAGCTGTATATTTCAGAGATATTTGCACTGGAAGGACAGCAGAGAGAAACCAGGTTGCTCTCCTTTTGACAGCAAAACACTTTTCTTCAATCTGAGGCAAAGAACTGTAGCATGCTGGAAACTGGTATGTGTTTCATCACCATGTTTCAAGGTAGATCTCTAGAGCAAGAGAAATTTATGCCTAGATCTGTTCATACCTCTGCACCGTCACATTTTGGTTCCACTTAAGAACTGATATTGCATGGGGGAAGCAAATTGGTAATTGAGTTTATGTAGGAACTGTGTTAGGGTTGACCAAATGCTTTTGCCCAGGAAGCAGCAACCTTGACACTCCATCTGCAGACAAGTACTTCAGGTAGAATAATGAGGCCGGTTCACTAGATTTGTTTTTACATTCTGTGATTCAAAGGTGATAGCTAGGTTTTGGGCATCTGAGGCAAATAATCCATGCAGCTCTTAGCCCAGTCACAGCATGGCCCATATACTGCTTTTGTTAACTCTTTATTGTCCTTGCAAGGTTTGTGATTATGTAAAATGTATAATTGTCTTTAATTACATATGCAGAATTGTGGCTTTCTTTCAGACTGTCAACTTTATAAAAAAATGGTATAGTGCCCCAAACTGATAGCTGCTAAGACCCAACTTCTGTTCATGTGGAAACCAAGTGGGAGTTTTGTGTTTAAGCTGAGCCAGGATTGGGCCCTAAATGCATTATTAAGGAAAACTAAGACATGCAATATTAATTTTCATTGCAGCTTAATATTTACTGACACCCCGATACTTCATTCCACCAAGATATGGCTGAAAATGCCTCCCCAACAGGGGCTGTTGAGTAAGAAATTACCATGCTAGTGTGGACTTCATTTATTTTTGCTTGTAACGAACCAGAAAGAAGCATTTTTGCTACTAAGGGAAAAAACAACCAACTGACCCTAGTACAAGGGGAAATAAAAACAGAAACATTAATTTTGCTTATGACTTCTTTAGTCCATGCTCAAGTTCAGTGTGGGGCACCCAGCCGATACTAGAGCAGGACAAACTTCATGCAGTAGCATTCAGCTCTTTTTTTGTAACCTTGGAATCTATTGTTGCTCTGAATTTAATAAAAGTCAAAACCTTGTTTGTTGGAAAATTAGTGTTTGTCATTTGTTTATTTCAGACATGAGTTTGGAAAATGTCATCCAGTGTTAAAAATATTTGTTATTAGGCTTGCCAAAATAAAACAAATAAATGAATAATTGCCCCGTTTTCCGTGTCAAAGTTGTATGCTTAGGTTATTCATAACAAAAGCTGACTGGAAAATTGCCAAATAGTCCCTTATCTTGATTATTAATTCATTTATACATGAACTAATCTTTTCAGCTCAGCCTCTGGATGTTTTAAAATTGGCTTTTATTTTATTAATATATTTATTGAAGTCAGTGTCCTTATTTTCTGGTTCTGTCGTGGTTTATTTACCAGGAACTGTAAAGCCAGTCTGCTCTGACTTCATTATAAAATTGACAACTCGACCTGTGATCGCCAAGTAATACAAAACAGTCTGTTTATCAGCCCATTTTTCCATTCACAGAGCAGACAGCCATTTTGCTATGGTTTAGTCTTAAACTGGCCAGACTAAAGTGCTCAAGAACAAAACCACCCATTTTTAAACAAGTAACCACACGTTTAATTTGTAACGACATGGTAATTTCATATGTACTGATGCCCTGAAAATGGAAACCAAAGTGTACTCACGGCTTTTTACAATGCAAAA